CTCCAAGGCCAGGCTGCACGCCTCCGACAAGAACCTGATGCCCTGCAGACTTCGTCATAAAACCAATCAGGAGCCAGCAAGTACATGACAGTTGCTTAAAGCCATTGGTGTCAAAGGTGCTTTTCTTTTATAATTTTTTTTAATAAACTTGAACGTATCATCTTCCATTAAAGCTTTTCAAGAAGAGACTGGACTTTCTTGGGGTCCATCCACTCCCCCTTGAAAACGTTTCTCTTCTCATCCTGAAGCTGAATTGCTGAAGAAGCTTCTTAGATGAAGCAGCAACTATAAGATTAACAGAGTTGGAAGGGACCTTACAGGTCGGCTAACCCCCCACTCAACCAGGCGACGCTACACCATTTCTGACAGATGGCAGTCCAGTCTCTTCTTGAAAGCCTCCAGCAACCTCCTACAACGTCCGAAGGCAACTTCTGTTCCATGGGTTGACTGCTCTCCCTGTCAGACAGTTCCTCCTTATTTCCAGGTTGGGTCTCTCTTTGATCAATTTCCATTGTTCCTTGTCTGGCCTTGGAAAATACCTTGACCCCCCCCCCTCTCTGTGGTAGCTCCTCAAATATTGGAAGATTGCTATCCTGCCTCCCTTGGTCCTTCTTTTCACCAGACTAGCCATGTCCAGTTCCTGCAACCAACCGTTCTTCATGTTTTAGTCACCAGTCCCCTAATCATCTTGGTTGCTCTTCTCTGCATTTTCTCCAGAGTCTCAAGATCTTTTTTATAGTGTGGTGACTAAATGCAGTACTCTAGGTGTGGCCTTACTAGGGCTTTATAAAGTAGCATTAATATCTCCCTTGATCTTGATTGTATGCAAGGGAATTGTTTTCAAGGAGGGGAAAAGCAAAAAAAATAAAAATCCCAATCGTCTTTTTGGGGACAACCATGAAGTGGATGACTTGAGAATCTCCTTAAAAGTTAAAAGCCATTTCTGCGATTCCCGGCCACCGGAGAAAGGCAGCACCTGGCCGCATGGGTCAAATTCCTTGCCTTGCCAGTCTTGATGCCCTTCTGTGTGTTTGTGTGATTTATCCCCATACATGTTCTCCAGATGTGACAGTCTCCTCGGAGGACCCCTCCATTCAGGGGAGGCTGGCAAAGGGCATCTCGCTTGACCTGTTCAATGTCCAGAGCCACCAAACGGAAATCCAGGAGACGTGCAGCACTTTAAAACAATAACAAGAATTGGAAGGTACCTTGGAGGTCATCTAGTCCAACTCCCCCACACCCCCGCGGTCACGTAGGAGACCTGTACTAGGGATTCGAACCAAAGACCTTTCTGATGGGACAGGCTCAGTGCCTTAGCCACCTCGCCAGGGTAAAGATTGCAATAAGCAATCGGAAATAATAAAAAGCTTGAAAAGACGATCCGGCACCGAAGCCTCAGTCCGACATCTGCGGAATGGCCTTTTCGCCTGGGGTGGGGTGTTGTGTGTCGGGGCGAAGCAGCCCCTCTTGCTGGGGGAGGGGGCGGTTGCAAAGGTGGGGTAGGCGATGCAAGCTGCCGGCGGTGTGGGGAGGCGAACCAGAGGCCCCCCACCTCCCTCTGATGAACCGGGCCCCCGCGGCGACGATCGGGACGGGGGTGTTGCACAGCGCCCCTGCTGGCCGCGCAAGGGAGGGCAGCCGCGGCGCCCCGGTGTCACAAAATGGCCGCTCGGCCAGGCAGGCGCGACAAAATGGCAGCCGTCCCCAAGAACGAAGGCGGGGTGGCCTTTCCGAGGTCGGTCGTCGGTCCCGCGTACTCCACGCTCTCCCGATTTCTCTCCGAGGAAGGGTCGCCCGAGCCTTCCTTGGGCCTGTTAGGTCCGAGAGTGAGTCGCAGAAGCAGTCCGAGAAGAGCAGGACACCGGGGAGGCAGTGGGCTGGGGAACATGGGAGTTGTAGTGAACGCCCGGGCCCGGTGAGATCGAATGGAGGCCCGAGTGGGGCTGAAATCGAGCTCTGTTCCGAGAAAGGACCTAATAACTGAAGATGCCCCGTACACACGCGAGCGTGCCCGACTTGTGAAATGTACCCACTAAAACCTCCCCGCCTGCCGCTGAGGAGTGGCAGCGGCAAGGCCACAGGGTGCGCACGCGCAAAGCTCCCCCAAGAACGCGTGTTGCGCGTGCGCGTTTGCCGCCGAGAGGCGTATATCGAGGACAGGATTCTCTCACGGCTCCCCACCCCCACTTGGAGCAGTCTCCCTCCTGTTCCCCTGGAAGAAAAAAGAAGTGTCCAGAGCGCTTGCGCACGCTATTCCCCTTCGCCTCTCTTCCCCCCTCCGTCTTCCCGCGGCCCGACGCGCGCTTCCCGCCGCCCAATAGGCGGCGCGCCCTGGGGCGCGAGGCGGGCGCGAGACGGCGGATTGGCTAAGGCGGCGATCGAGCGCGCAGGCGCCGTGCGGGCGGCCGAGCGGGGCGAGAGAGACAGAGAGCGACGCCGCGCGCGGCGCTGCTGCGGCTGCTGAGGAGAAATTGGGCTGAAGCAGCGACAGCGCCGCCGCCGAGCAGAACGCGCACACGACGACGACGGTCAAGGCGGCGCCGGCGCCGGCGCCGGCCCCTTCAATATCACCGGCATCGCCGCCCGCAGCAGCGGCAGCATCCGGAGCGGTGAAAGCAGGAGGCGTCGGCGTCGGCGAGGGGCCAAGTGGCGCGGGAGTGGCGGCGGCGACGGAGGAGGCGGCGGCGGGGCCCGGTGGGATGGTGTCTCCCACCGGCGCCGCGGAGGGAGGCGGCGGCGGCGGTGGAGGAAGAGCGGGCCGGGCGCGACGGCGGCGGAGGCGCGGCGGCTCCCCCTCGCGGCGCTGAGCCGAGCTGAGGCGTCGGCAGGCGGGCGGCGCCAGGACCCCCCGTCTCCCGGGGGCAGCATCATGGTCCGGGAGACCAGGCACCTCTGGGTGGGCAACCTGCCGGAGAACGTCCGCGAGGAGAAGATCATCGAGCACTTCAAGCGGTGAGTGGGGCCGCCGGGGTGGGTAGGAGCAGGGGGGGGAATAGTCCTAGGAGGCAGAGATTAATAGGTGAACAGAGTTGGAAGGGACCTTGCAGGTCATCTAGTCCAACCCCCCCAGCAGGAGAGACCCTCCATCTGCCTCTACCTAGGATCGAACTCACAACCTCCTGATTGTGACAGATTAACAGAGTTGGAAGGGACCTTGCAGGTCATCTAGTCCAACCCCCTGCCCAACTAGGAGAGACCATACATCTGCGTCTACCTAGGATCGAACTCATAACCTCCTGATTGCCTTTCAAAGCGGCCAGTGAGCCACAAGCCTTTTCTAATGGGGGGAAAGGTGGGGGATCGCCGTAATTGGGAGATTGTTTGGGCCGGGGCTGGGAAAAGGGACCCTGTATTTGACCCTCTGGGGAGGGGAGCCCCTCCATGCCAATGGCCGTCCCTCCCTCTGAGGGGCAATTCCGAAACAGGTGCGACAGGTAAAGGTAAAGTTGGGGAGCCTCTTTGGAGGAAGAGGCTGCTATGTGTGTCTGGATGGTGCTTCTGGGAGCCTGTGATCGAGGATTTAAGAAGACCTCGGGGAGCCTGGCCAAGAAGAGTCATCAGTCTGGACAACCTGTCATTGGGAGCATCTGGCAGGCTTCCTCAGTCCCCCCCCCCCCCCCCATCGACTGCACCTCTGCAAGAGAAGCCCCAACAGGAGTGATGCTGCTGGCTGCTTTGTTCTTGAGAAAAAGGCTGCTGGGCTCCTTTCTGCATTGGGCATTTTAGAAGAGTGGACCAAAAAAAAACCTTCCATAAGGTGCAGCCTTTCAGCTCTTGCCAGATGGAGAGATGACGGGCAGAGCAAAGATGCTGTATCAATGGCCTTCATCTCGTGAACTGGGATTTTCAAAGAGTGTATTCTCATGGAAACCACTTTTACCATGCTAAATTAAAAAAAAATCTTATTTTTGTTTTTTCTTTCCACACTCTGATCCTGGACTACTGACTCTTTGAATTTTTATTTTATTTTATTTTTCCCACGTGAGGTGGCAATTTTGAGGCTCTTTGTTTTCTTATTCTTAAGGAATTATGGAAGAAATAACTGGAACGTGGATATTTAGGCACTGTTTTGAATGACTAGGACACTGAAATCCTTTTAAATCCAACTTCCTTTTGTTCTGTTGCTGTGGAACATTTCCGGGATGGCCTAATAACTGAACTGTAGCTTAGTCTTCTTATTTGCATTCAGGAAATTTTTTGTTCTTCTGGCTTTTGGCATTTTAAATTCCCCCCGTGAGAATCCTTTTGGACCAAATACATGTAGCTGAATAGCACTACCATGGTGCTACATGGGATGGCTTGTTAATAGTGATGGACACATTCTAGATAACAGTTGCAAAAACCTCTGTCAGATAATTATTTCTGGTCTTGCCTATTATGGCATTGTGAAGGAAAACTGATGTGCATCATTCTTGGTCCCTATCTGGGTCAGCTGAAGTTATTTTCAGTGAAAGACTTAAGAGGATTGCAAGTTTTCTTGTAATTTTCTTCCTACTGTTTAGGAAGATTATGGAGCGTACCTAATGAGTCATCATGGGAAAAATAGACTTTGCATGGTTACCTCATGGGGGAACAAGCTTGACTGGTGAATCTGGGGAAAGAGAGTGAAATTACCCTCTATTCTTAAATAGAAGCTTTTTTGTTGATGGTCAGAATACATTTTCATTTTGTGCCAAAGGTGTCCTTTAATGTTACGTTAGAATTGATGCTTCCTGTTACTCCTCCCCCTCCAAATAATTCAGAGTTGGGGCACGCAGGTTGCAAAATCAGAAGTGGATTTCTATTCTGGTCTTATTATCTAGTAGATGGGAAAACAGTTTTAAAGTATTGGACTTCCCATATGCAAAATAAGTCTTGCGTGGGATTTGAGGAGGTCCTTTCCTAGCTGGTTTTCCTCTGTTTTTTTTTGCTGTTGTTTGTGTGTTTGAATTGGTGTCTGAGGAAGGCATGCATGTACACACACACACACACACACACACACACACAGTCTTGTAGTACTTGCTGTGATTAGCAACAAAGAGCCTGATTCATCATTTGGCAGCCCCAGCTTTGTAAAAAAAAGAAAACTGTTCCTTGATCCTCCCTTTGCTGGAGAGGAGAGAACAACATGCCTCTCCGAAGGTTTAGCGCAGTGCTGGCTTGTATGAATGCCTTTCTAAAATGGCGGCCGGGTCCCAGTTTATGTCGGAAGGAATAGAGCCGATCTCAAGCTGCACATAGAGGGGGGGGGGGCTTTGTGAAGCAGCAGCATCAGAAGAGCTACGTAACGAGATTTCATCTGGCTCCCCGGTTGCTTCCGCCACCAATCTTAACTGCAGAGCTTTTCCTCAAAAAGTGCAGGAGGAGATGATTCCTTGGAAAAGAGCAGCTGTAACTGGAGCTGGGGTCAAATACTGTTCCTTCTTACAATCCCTAGGAACAGTCTTGCACTAAATAATAGGAAACAGTCATGCAAGAAAAAATATTAAAAAAAAAAAACATGCACAAGTTTAAATATGGATGCAACCAAGAGTGTAATTGCTCCAGTTGGGGAAACTGTATTATCATGCAGATTGTGGTTTTGTGCTATATAAAACTGGAGGGGTTGTCTCAACTTTCCTTTTGGAGAAAGGGCAACACTGGTGATCCAGCGGGGATCCTGGCACTCAATAATCAAGAGAACTGTTGTGCGGTTGGGTTTGGGGCTGCTGGTTTGTCATGGGATTCAATTGTTGGAAGAAATTAAATGGAAATTACAATTGGCATTCCAACATGTTGTCTCCTATCCTACCACCCTGTTTCCACAGAAGGTTTCTAATGCTGGATAAAGTTGCCATGGTGCTGTTGCTTAGAGATGAATCCGAAAGACGGAAGGTTCTGGTTTTTACACCCCCCCCCCAAATGTGCCAGTTTTCACATAAGTCAAAGCATGGTTGGATTTAAAAAGCCATTTTATTTGATCCAATCTTTCAGTATAATTTTTATCGATCATTTGGGTTACTAGCCTTCTAACTATCATCGGAATGGTGGTTGTGTTTTTGGTCGCAAAAGATGCTTAGGAACGCTGCCTGTGTACAACAGGGCGGCCCTTTCTTTGTATGACCCTGGGTGGGGGAGGGGACAGGTTGCACAACAATTGCATTGCATTGCTGCAGGGTGTGTATACCAACAAAAGACTTAACTCCTGCAGTTGTCCATAACTGTGTGCATTTTAATTACTAGAAGAGAAGCTCCAAGGGGAGAACAGTCCCCTTTTTAGTTTTAACTGGTCTCTGGCAAAAATAATAAAAATAATAATAATCCCCCCCCCCCGCCTGGGAATAGGACAAAGAATTTGCAAAGAGCAAGCAGCGGTGAGCAGTCTTATAACAAAATCAACCTAAAACCTCCCAATGGCTCTAATATATTAAAGCTCATGAACGTAAATAGAGGCAACCTCACTATTTATCCTTTGTGCCCATTTCACTCATTCTAGATGAGGCTGGTTAAGTGTCCTTATCAATTGGAAGAACTATATTTATGTACGTTTAAATTCTAAATAAAATACGGCTGATATTGATATGTGAAAAATCAGTTGTTCCAAGCAGGGGCGCCCTTAGGAGAATTAGTAAGAGTCATGAGCAATTAGACAAAAAACCTGAATTGTACAGCTCTTTTAATCGGTGGAATGATCAATGTAGGACACTTCTAAGATGACCTTTAATATATAAGTAACTGCTGTTTAGAATTTGATGTGATAATTTGGGTTATCCCTGTTTTGAAAACTTGTTACGAAAGATAGTTTGTAAAATATATGATTTCTGCTGTGCTTCTGCATATTAATTTACAGTGGCTTTTTTGCGGGGGGGGGGGAATAGTCCTGCAACCTTTAGAAACATCCGGTAACCAATGACAAGGGGTCATATTTGTAAAGGTGAAAGAGAAGTTGACACATAGCTCTTAAAATAAAAACCTCTCTTTTAAGCTCTTAAAATGATGCAGTGCATCGGATGCAATGTTTGCTTTTCCTCTGATCCATATTAATTCACTACATGTTTAAAAATAGAGGCCCTGTTTAATCCATCCATATTGGTCTCTTCTGCTGCTTGCTTTTTTTTTTTTTTTTTGCTAAGTTTCTATGAAAAACATTCCAGGAATCTGAACCCTCTTAGATGGTCCTTTTTTTGATAGAAATGTGAGGAAATGATTGGTTGTGAAAGTATTACACAATCCTAACTGTGTCTCAATTATTGTAAAAATTGAAACACCGAAAGTATGTGCTCCTCTTGAAGGAGATGCAGAGCAGCTTGCAAGAAAGGGTGGCTAAATATAGCAAAGTTTGTCCTCTGCATGAGTGCCAAATGTCCAGCAGTTCCTTCTTGATTAATTAGAGAAAAACAGCAGTCAGTTTAGCAGAACTGTAAGTTGGTGTCGCGTTCTCTGTCACTTTTGTAAAGAAATAAATAAAATAAGGTACTGCAAGAGTAAGGTGGGCTTCCAAAGACAATTTTCCTTGTCCTTTATCCTTGTTCTTGTTTGGGAGCCTTAATGTGATGGAGTTAAATACCAAATTGATAACCTTCCAAGTATGCTTTCCTGGGAAAAGGGGCTTGTTTTGTAAACTTCCTGTTTTATTTCCAGTCCGGTCCATTTCATGGCTGCACCGGTTCTTTCTTTTGCAGGCCAAGCCGAACCTGGCAGAGCTGATGTGCTCCTGGCATGAATATCTCTTGCGTGCACAGTTCAAAAGCAATTTAGCCATGCTCTTTTGATAACCAGGCTGTCTTTTCATGGTCGTTCAAAGTTGTGGTGGAAGGACGGATAGGCCTGAGGATTATGCATAGCTGTCTTAAGACAAGTGCTGTGTTCCTCTCCCAGAGCCCTTCTGTGTAAGGGTGCAGGCCCTGCTGCATACATGACAAGAGAAGGACTTAGTGTAGAAGTGGGGAAGGTGGTTGCGGAGAAAGCGGGCTTCCCTTCCCAGCATGAACCAA